TTTGAATCTTGGGGGTCGTCACTCCTGGGATGGGATATGACTGGCTGATGACGGCTAATAAGCCTGAAATGGCCATTGTGGTCTCCCTTGGCTTTGTCGGTTCCACTTCGATATTTACATATCACAGACTGCCGTCAGCAGAAAGTGGATGCTACCCGAGTTTTTTCATTGAAGCCGATGTATTTCAGCTGAAATATTCATGTCGCATTTCGGATCAAGCGTGAAAATTAACGTTAAAATTCATATTATAACTTCTAAGTAAATTAGTGAACTTGAAAGAAAAAATTGCGGCTCGGCTAAGGCATTAACAAGCGCACGTTTTCCGGATTGCCACCCAATTGACTCACGTGATAAAACCCTCGAAATATCGAGTGCTTCCAATTTTTTTAACCGTTGTCAAGCAACTAAATAAGCATCCAATAGTCGTGCGATGTCGTGAGCCTTTACTTCAGTATCAGACAGCTGGTTTTTTCGCTAAAACTGGTCTCCTCTTTTCGTTAATGTTCTTATTTGAGTGAGAGAGAGAAAGAAATATGCTTTATTTCAAAGGTGATATCCAAAATTTTCCGCAAAATTGTAGTGGTGGTCAGGATGAATTTCGGATGGCGTCAAGATTTGAGTACGCGTTAGCCTTCGTGCGGGTTCACAAGGCGCACAACCGCATTAAACTACAGTACGCGCCAGAATTCGTGCAACATGCCGACATATGCGGAAGATGAATATTCTTTCGTTAATCGGCATTGACTCAGGTTGCGATACTGATTATCGTGTAGTCTATTCTTAAGTCATTTCATTCATAATTGGATGTCGGCTTTTTAACGAGCTTATTTTTGACGGCCAACAAAACGCATATGCTGCAAAAAGTAACTACTTATATAGTATGCGTATTTATCATTGATTTTGACTGCCTTTATAAATTAAATCTATTTTATGGAAAACGTACACGAAAAATTACTTCCTGTACTCATTTGGTGGCAAGTTATGCCTTCTTTAAATTTTATACTTAAAGAAAGGGTATCATTCGGTTTTAAAAACATTTCTAACGATGAGCTTTTTTAAGATTGTGAGTTGTTCATTCATAAAAGATCGTATCCGTAAATTTATTAATGCTGCCTATACTTTATAAAGCCTGTTCCACACCTATTACAACATTTTATGGGAACTACGTGACTTACTCCTCAAATTGTACGCAAAAGCGTTCTTTTCCTTAAACAGGATGTGCACAGTGCGCATTTTGTAAAAATGAAGTTCGAGTGTAGCAGCTAGCAGGTTTCAAAATTATTCGGCAATTTACAAACTTTTTAAAACCGAAAGATACCCATTCGCTAAGTATAAAATTTAAAGGGGGCTTAATTTGCTATCAAACGAGTACAATAAATATTTTTTCGTTTATCTTTTCTATAATATATATTTGAATTTATAAAGGCAGTCAAATTCAATGATAAATACGCATAATATTTAAATAGTTACTTTTTACAGCAGATGCGTTTTGTTGGCGGTCAGAAATAAGCTCGTTGAAAAGCCGACATCCTATCATGACTGAAATGACTTATCGTTAAAAAGCGCGCATCCTATCCTGACTGAAATGACTTCAGAATAGACTAGCACAATAATCAGTATCACAACCTGAGTCAATGCCGATAGCGAAAGAGTATCAATCTTTCGCATATGTCGGCATGTTGCACGAATTCTGCCGCTTACTGTGCGTACAGGCATCCTTGAGGGCTGGTATTCGCGGAATGTCACCTTTTCAGGCACCAAGCCCCCCCCCCAGTTGTCAGAACGTCAAAAGGCCTCTGAGTCATCAAGCGCTGCCGTTCAGTTATAGTCACGGAAGAGGACCGCAGCCCCACTCTCAGACAGTAATTCTGCCGCCACTTGACCGAGAGCGAGAAGGTGGGGGCCCACATTTGGTAGCGGAGGGTCCCTATAGGAGTTCATTGACTGTCAGTGAGGGTTTTGGGGGTGTG